TTTTGTGCCTCAGGATTGGGGAGGATTTCGGAAATAGGAAAAAATAATGATGCACCCTGCAGGGAAATGCTTTGGCTCTCAAAAAACTCAAGGATTAGCTGGTGTGTGCTCTTCCTGACAGAGCGGCCGTTGCCGAGTGAGCTACAGAACTGCGAGTGATGGCACAACAAAGGGAAGTGGCCGGTCCACTGTGAGTGTGTGAAAGCACGCGCGTGTCAAGAATTAGAAATTGACTTTTTTAGTCAGGCAGCTCCGGGACTTGTCAGCGCTGTCATTGTTCCCACTGTGTGCTGAAAGGACCATCAGCCTGCCTTTTCTCTTATCAGACATGCTCTGACACAAGGCTGCCAAGATCATGGGCAGCCGGTGAGCGTAGCTAGCCTGTGCCCATCCAGGGTCCACACATTCTTCTTTTTTATGTTACTGTTTTCCTTTTATGACTAAGTATTTTTATTAGGGCACTGCTTGGTATGCGCTGCCTGAGGGGTCATGGTGGTTACGAGCACTTACTGAGAGCTGTGAGTATCATGAGACCATAAAGCTCCACATTTCACATGACTACTACGAGTCAGATTTTGTATTCTCTTCCTTGCCAGTCTCCATGGCACAGTGTAGCCTGGGGGGCTTGGGGGGTGTTCACATTCTGTTTAATATCTTAATACCTTGTGGCATATCTTAGCCCGCTAAATTTAGCTGCTTGAGGACTTTGATTATTGTCATGTTTATTCCTAGTTCTGTGAGCATAGTTCCTCCATGGAAGATTAGGAAGGTGTGGGCTTGTCAAGTTACAGAGACCCTAGGACAGAGTGGCAAATTGGAGCAGCAGTGATACAGCACACGATGGCAGCAATTTCAGTTAGCATAAGCTTGTAGGAAACAGTCTTGGTTAAGTTATTCTAAAATACAGGTCAAGGAACATTTTCACTGGAAAGCCAGCCTTGCGGAGTAGAATTTCAAAACACAAGGTAAACAAGTACATTTCAGAAGGAAGAAGAAACACTACAAACAGATAAGATGTATTTGGGACAAATTAAATATTAAAGTGATTAGGGTAAATCCAAGGTAAAGAAAAGTCAGACTGGATAGGAAGGGGAGGCACCGGTAGGAAGGAGGGGGGATTAAAGCACTGGAACAAGGTGAGATTTGTTTTTGCTGTATTTTTTTTTAAGTGACAGAGGGGGACTGACACCTTAGACATCTGGAAAGCACAGGAATATCCTGCTTTGAGTTCCATGCCTGCGAGAACTGTCTTCCGTCCGGCTCTGGGTTCTGTGCCTAGCACAGTGTCTTAGTGGACAGTGAGTGCTGGTTCATGAGAAATAGCAGGAGCAGTTTCTCATTGGAGAAGGGCTGGGGCTGAGAGAATGAAGTTGCAGGTGGTACTAAATGTTGCCTGGAGCAGTGAACATTTTGTGTTTGAATATTGGCATTGTAAAAAAAAACAAGGTGGCTTTATGTGGAGGTTTACATTTTTGCGGTATGTGTGTGTGTGTGTGTGTCTCTAACAACTGACTGCTAACATGATACCAAAGCTGTCTGCAATCTGAAGTTTTTTTGGAATATCAGGCTACATGCTGCAGCTGAATGGTTTCCAAGAACAGTACAAAGCCTTCTTTGTGGCCTTCCCTGGAGGGGAGTCAGGTTGTAAAGCTCTGTCTGATGGTGGCTATCAGCAACACATGTCCATGTCCAGAATATCTAGGGATTTAAGATTGGCCAGAAGAAAATGTGTATCATGCTGCTCGGCAGAGAAAGGCAATTGGCCTTTCTGGCCTTTTAGCATTGGGTAGGTGTGTATTACCTAGCTGTATGAAGTGGGGAAGATTGGTTATATATGAGATTTATGTACAAACATTTTATTTACTGATGTGTTCTATTGAGAGATCTAATAAGGTGTTATTATCAAATACTGTCAGTTTTTAAATGCCATACCTTAGTACAATGCACTTTACTAAGCTGTAAATGTGTGCTCTTTCTAGAATCATTTGGAATCTTAACAGCGTTTTGGGGATAGTCTCTTGGAGAAACCATGTATTCAATGTTTAAGAATTGTAGATACTTGGCTTTTTTTTATGCTTATGGTTCTGATTTTTAATGAAAATCCATTTTAGTCTGGAAGTTCTGTTTTTTGGGCATGTATCAGATGGAGCTATTCCTATTTTTCATGATTCTAAAATGTTTTGATGATATGTTTGTTCCTAATAAATTGTCTCCATTCCGATGCAAACTGACGTTTAAGCCTTATTTTTGATTAAGTGGGGTTGGGGTGACTATTGGTTAAATTCACCAGGTTAGGAGGATGAGGGGTATAAGTCTTCTCCCTCAGTCGTGTTCCCAGATAGGAGACCCAATTCCTGTGACCCCTGCCGGGTATGCAGAACCGCATTCCATCAGCAGGCAGAAGGCAGCCACTGGGACTGTTCTCTGAACTTCTAGATGCTCTGATAATACTTTACATGAAAAGTTACTGTGAAGTAAATGCAACATTTCTGGGTGCAGAATTCCTCTAACCTAGTCAGGATCTGGTGACAAGAAGCCCCTAAGCCAGTGGCTGGACACAGGATTGTTCCAGAATCACGCTGTGGGTACCATTGCCCAGGGTAAGGTCGGGCTCCTCAGATTTCCTGTCTTACTCATCCCTGAGCGAAGGGCCTAGGCCACGCTCCTAGCCAATCCACTATGGTAAATGCCACTAATTTCACCAGTGAGAAATCTTTTCTAACCTCCGTTAAACTGATTTACAAAGCCGCCAACATAGAGAGGGAGGTGAAGAGCTTGAAGCAGCTGCCTCCAGAGTGGTGCCTTTGAGGAGCATCTTACAGCACCGGCTAAATGTGTGGGAAGTGCGGGGTAGGTATGCCTCGCTAGCGCAGAGCCGGGCCCTCCGGGGCAGATTGAAACTATCACGTCCCTATGCTGTTGTCTGTGCTAGACTGTTTTAAAGTCAGTTATCACTCATATAACTCTTTCTCTACTGGAAATTAATTTCCTTATCTAGGGAGCTTCCTGGTGCCAGCCAACCCTGGTTTCTCCTTCTTGTGCCCACTGATGTCGCATCCTTCTTTTTGCCTGTGTACTTATGTTCACATTTCCCCGGATCCCATCTTTCCTTTCACCTCAGCAAATTCCGCCTCCAGATTCCTCACCACACTTGTCTTCCTCGTTCCCAATCCCCTTCTGAATCCCAGCCACACTGAGTCTGCAGATACACACTCATCAGTGCACGGGTTGATTTGCACTCGGATTGGTTCTGTGTGTGCCCTGAGTGAGGGGGTGGGGATGTTAGTCTTACATGCCTTTCGGACTAAAATCTAAGGTTTAAGATAAGGGCCTCTTAGGCATTTTCTAAACTACTTCCAGCCCCTGTTTAGCAGAACACCAAACTCATATTAAACATTAAACAAGGGAGAATTGGGGAGGAAGAAGAGAGAAGGGGCACATAATGGGAAGGTATAATTAGATGCCTTCTAGTTCCTGGTCAGAGTCATTTGTCTGGGGGAAAAAATGTCCTCCTGTCCTGGTGAGGGCTTAAAGCTTCACCCTTTCAACCGTGGCTTTGTCACCATATTCCCTGCCCTGACTTATCCCTCTGTTAATGCCAGAATATGTGTGACAAGAGCCTAGTGAATGTAATAGGGTAGATCATGTGGTGGTGGCTACAATGAAATGAAAAATAACACTCAACCACATGTCCTTTAAGTCAGGTGGAGACTGTACTTTACAAATCTTACCACTGCAGATAGAGAAGGCTGGACACCATTTTTATAAGCAAAAATGAAGTAATATCCTAGACACATTCATTTACAAATTTAACGAAAAAGCATTGTCCACTACCCTCTCACTTTGTTTTTTGCCAGACTTTTTTTTTTTTTTTAAGAGTAGGTGAGATGAACGTGAAACTTGACCAAAATGGGATATTCCCGGAAGCAGATGATTCCCTAAAGGAATGGCCGTGGAAGGAGAGAGTCAGTAGATCAGCTGACAGCAGCAGCTACAGTCTGATGTTTGAAAGCAGCTCCTCTCCTGCCTGGGTGCAGTGGTGTCCTTGAGTGAGAGGAAAAACCTGTCTTGCTTTTTGCTTGACCATTTCATATTTAAAACTCCTTCCCAAAAGAAATTTCTGTACCAGGCATTAGAGTAAAATTATTGCAGCCATGAAAGTAATGATGTACCCAAAGCCTAAAGGAAGTCAGGGCAGGTCTAAAATAAAGTGTCTATATTCTTTCATCTTTCTATTCCCTTGTCAGACTTTATGACCTCTGGCGGTGCCCAGTGGAGTTGCCCTCAGCACAGTCTGGTGTCGCTGTGTGTTGCTTAGGTGGAGCACGACTGATTGAGGAGCCACTGATTGATGACAATTGGGAGCAATGGCATTTTGGGAATGAAAATAATTTTTGAAGCCTTACTTCCTCTGCTTCTGAAGCATTTTAATAAGTCTGTTCTTTATGACTTTCGGTAAACATATCAAGTGTTCTCTCAAATCTGAATGAGTTTTGTATGCCTGAATTAATGAATTGCTTAGAATGTCAATTTTGGAATGTAAGAGCCTGTCAGGAAAACCCAGGCCCTTGATACGGAATATAATCTTGCTCTGCTAGATATACAGTTTCTATAAAAACTCTGATTGTGGAAGATGGATGATATTTAGGGAAGGTAACTAAAGAGGGAGTCTATATTAGTCTACTTTTTGACATATTTTAGGATCTGTCCTTGGATGAATAGACCACAATAGGAAATTAGACCACTATAGGAATTTAGACCGCTCTAGGATATCAATGTGTACACCACATCCCTTAACTCCTTGCTCAATGTCTTCAGGATCTGACCTCAGTGTAAGGCCTCTGAATTTTATAGTGAGTTGTAATAAACAAGAGTGTTAAGAAATCCATCTCTGCATTTCTATTGGCCCATCACTGGTGACGTGGCCTCTGGGTAATTCAGTGGGTGCCTCGGTAGTTCTTCAGGTGAGAAATGGCTGTTTAAGAACTGAATCATTTAATAAATGGAGGTGTTTTTATTGGTATTCTTGTTTACTAAAATTTCTGTGACTTCCTCTTTGTCTCAGCTTCCAGTAAACTTTTAAAGGTTAGTGCTACTGTCTTACATCATAGCAACGTATTTGTCTCTTATGGTTAAAAACTTGCAGGTTTTTCACCTCACATTTCAGATGAGAGCAAAAGTGTCAGCCCACCTCAAGGAACCTAGTTGGGAAAAGCTGCAAAGGTGACCATCCAGAGGACTTGGTCCCCCATTCTTTGAAACTGTCTCAAGGGCCTGGGACAGCCTGAGACAGGTGAGAGCCATCCAAGAAGCCAGCCATAAACAGCTTCTGGGTGTTCTTGAAGGGTGGTAGTTTTCCTTCTGTATAAGATTAAGGAACTTTGTGGAAAGAAGTTAGTCTCGTCCCCTGGGGTCAAGGACGATGGATGCCAACTTCCTTCATAAAGTTTGCCATGCAAAAGATTGAAAACCAGCTCATGAATGATCAAATTTATTGATTTTTTTCTTGTATCCTTAATAGCAGAATGTTTTCCTTTCCTTTTTTCAACAGCAAGTCCGTGGGCTCGCCCATTTTGGCCCTATCTCTGCTTCATCCGCATTAACACCCTTGGCTACTAGGAGTAGGTGAGTTGAAAGGAGAGAAAGTTGAAATCATAGTACAAACTGGAAAGTGGGGGGTTATTGTCTGTGCTATCGTTGGTAAGCAAATATTGCCTATGAGTAAGCATTTGGCCAGGTGAATTCTCTCCTTCAAATGAAAGGTGAAGTCAAACATTGAAATCTCAATTATCTCAGGCTCAAATACCTCTGCTATTGAGAGTAGGGTCCCCATTCAGTCAGCGGCTCTAATGTGGCCTTTGTGGGGGAAGCATTTTTGGTATTGTTAACAAAAGTCAATTTGTTGAGGTTCTTTTTATAGGTGTTTATCTCTTAAGCTGTTACCGCTGGCTATGATCAGAATGGACTACAGATATGCCTCATTTCACCCACTAGATATAAGTCTGAAAAGTTGTGTGAGTATAACTCTCATAAATGAGCTCATGTTTTAAGGATTCTAGGAAAAGCCTTTACTCAGAGCAGCCTTGCTGAGTATCATTTTGTGAAGTGCTGTGCTTACAGTAGGTACTGGGTGACTACATGGATGGACACATGAAAAGGAGATTCTTTTCTATGAACAACCCTTTCATTAGAGCCATTCTCTAAGATTCAGTTCTTCCAGAAAGTGTCTCCAAAAGCCGAGGGTGGATGTCACTGGACCTCCTCCAATAATGGCCTCATATGTCTCTCTCACTGCATGTGTTAACCTAATTAAAAGCAGAATTCTTATTGGATGCTTACCATAAACCAGGCCCTGTACTAAACATCTTTCGTCTGTTATCTCATTTCGTCCTGTGAGATGAGGAAACCGCAGCTGCAAGAGGCCCCCCCACAGTTTGTCATGGTTGCGTAACCGGTAAGAGTGGTGTCTGATCTCAGATGTGAGTCTGTCTGATTCCAAAGCTTGCAACCTCTGTACTCATGTCTTTGTAAGGTGTATGTGTCTGTGTGTCTCCACTAGATGCCAGCTCCCCCAAAACCTGAACTCTGTTTTCGCCTTGTCCCCTTGATTTCAGCCACCATGTCTGATGTGTAACAGGCTCTGAATGTGCGCGAATGAGAAGGAACGACCAGGACTGTAGTGGGAGACCTGGGGTCAGCTCTAGTTCTGGCACCAGAAAGATCATTTAACCTCTCTAGAGCACTATGTAAATCAGGGAAATAGTCCCTGCCTAGGTCACAGAACTGTTGTGAGGGTCGAATGAGAGAGAGCTTATGTAAACCATAAAGAGTGATACAGATGTTGAGAAGAATTCATAAACTAATTGTCTAATTTATCTGTTTTATAAATTCAGAATAGTTCAGTGCTAGGGTCCCTCAAAGCTGAAATACTTAAGTATTAGAAAATAATGGGCCTGAGGAAATGATGGGGGAACAAGGATTTTTATTAAATCAGGAGAAAATGTTCTAGGATAGTTTGAAAGTCTTATGATATAGATACACATACTGGCAAATGGGAAAACCGTAGGGGTCCCTGTTAGTGAAGGAAAGTATCCAGGTTAGTGGATGGTGGGGAGTCAGGTCCAGGATGCTCAGTGGAGCTTGGTTGCTACCTCTCCTGGGCAAGTGCCTTCATCTTGCTACCAGGCCTCAGTTTCCTCATGTGTAAAATGACATACTTGAACCAAATGACTCCAAGCTCCAGTGACCTGTCATTTTTAACTTGGGTGTTTGGGGCAGTCCTGTAGGGGTGAATTGTCCAGTTGCATGTGGCTGTCACTGTTCATTCCAGATGCCAGCACAGTGTTTTCTTTCAGCCTTTCTTCGTGGTGCCAAAGAGCTGAATGGACCCTCACAGGCTGAAGCAGCAGAGAGCACCAGCCCCACGGTGCCCCTTCAGGTGTCTTACAGAACTGCGCTGGATTCCCAGGCTGCTCCGTGTTCCCCGTCAACCTAGCTTCCTCATTAACACCTCTATTGCTGGTGTCAGTAGTCTTAATGGGTAGAATGTTCTATTTCCTCCCATCACCCCCATCATTTCTCTACCATCCTACCCCTAAACCATTGATTTGAAGCTGTTATGAGTTCCTGTATTTAAAGCAAATAAGATATTTTCCTACAATATGATATAAGGATGTTCTTTGAGACTTTCTATCAACCTGAGAACTGTTTATGCTTGCAAAGTTTACAGACTTTAGACCTGTAAGAATGTGTCCTCAGATGCTATTATAATTTTTATTTTCAAGAGCATTGTTGAAGCACCACGTTGACACTGGCAGGTACACAGAGCAGGGATACTAATCCTCATTTTACAACTGAGCCTAAGAAAGGAAGGAAAGTGCTCAAGGGACAGGGCAAACTGGGGCTCAGACTTGGTTTTCTCCATCCTATCCAGTCCACTCTGTTGATGATGAAAAGCCAGGCTCACTGACCTTGCCACACAGGCACCAGTCAGTCCTGGGCAGAAAGCAAGCAGGACAGCTGATGCTGTCATCACAGCTGAGGAAATGGAGCCTTGGAAGTTAGACTCTCTGCCCACAGGGCTGTGCCACTGAGGAGTCCATATCTCAAACCTGCCTCTCCAGACGCCCACTCTTTCCACAGTATCAGTTGACTTGATTTCAGCATTTCCTGTAAAAGCTTCAGGCAGTGCCTTCATCCTGACAATATCAAATACCTCATGGTTTAGCAATGCACTGGAGAAAGTGCTAGTGAGGCAGGGGTGAGGAGAAAGGGAAAGATGGAAATGGCTAAGGCCTGCCTCCTCAGCAAGAGTGGGAAGCAACCTTTGTGCTGACATTCTCTCACGCTTTGTCTGTAAACCCACAACTTCCAGCTTTATCCCTGGCCTGTGCTCAGGGGGAAGTTGAGGGCAGTTCCATTTTCCATTCTAGGTATTGGTATATTTTCTCTGTTATGCATGTTTACATTTATCAGTTGTTGCATGTAAAGCTGAGACGTCATAATCAACTCAATTTAGTTTTCCAAATTAATCCACCTTGAATTTGAGGTGTAATAGCTGAAAGAAGGTATTATGATCAGAAAGTGTCTGGAGTTACCTTCCTGTCCAGTAAATAATTAGAACTGTTGGTCAGAGAGCTGGCAGCTTTGGAATGAATCTCCCTTACTTAATTTCTCCTGGATTCCTGACATCTGCGCTCTCCCTTCACATGTTCTGCCTGGCAGTGCTGTCTCTGCAGCACACAGCGTGCCCTCTGCCCCCTGGTATTTCTCCTCTGCGATGTTCTCTGCAGCACCCTGGATCTGCCCATTTGCTTGAAACAGAGACTGGAATAAACTTCAAGTATTTTGATACTCATCAGTTTTGTTTGGTGTGTATTTTTCCATTATAGGCATTTCTAAGGGAAAGAGGTTGAATTTTCATTAGCTGTCATCACAGTGTTGAACTAAAAACCTTTGTTTTCAAAATCAATAAGTAGAGCTTTTCTGAGGAAGAAAGGTTTGTGTGCAAAGGGTTTCATCTGTATTGATGGCTTCATAACTTAACACTTAGTGCTGGAAAAATCCTTTGTGACAGTTTTATACATGGCCTAGCATTCTTGTCCTTACGTGTAATGCTGATTAAACTATTCTCACAAAACCTTAAGGCCATTTCTCCAGGCACGTATGTAGTGGTTTTCTGGTAACACCCAGTTATCTCCTTGACAGGTTGTCAGCTTTGTACTCATTCCCCTTATTTATCTTGTCTGCTTAGAAAGGCTGTGGAGAGAGACCAGTGTTCTCTTACACGAGCCCTTATACTTTAGGAACAGTATAAAAATTGCTGGAAAAGCTGAGAAAGTGGAGGAAATTGGTCCGTGTTCAGTTTGGTTCCCTGGCACCTTCTCTCAAGTTTAGTTTAATTTACCTCTGTTAAGAATCAGTTGAGACTGGATTGGTTAAGAGCCAATCTTAGTAAGAATGTTTTAGCATTCTTAAAAAAGGATCATACTTTTTTAGTCTGAATTAATCTGAGAATAAAACGCCCAGTTGCCCTGCCTTGGATCTACTGGCAAAGAAATCTAATAGCAAAACCCATCATCTGGTGTTTTCCAGCTCGTCTTAACCTGTCATTTAACATACAGCCTTTACTTGTAATCTTCTGATTTGGTGGTAGTGGTGGTGCCTACGGTAACAATACTCTGCCAGGGTGGTTGTGATTACAGAACCCAAGGATGACTTCTATTGCTGCATCTGTATAAAATCTGGTGTAGTTCCCTCCTCCCAGTGGCCTGCACAGAGCCTGGTTGAGTGGTTGAATATCGGTTGCCGAGTTGCTTTGTTAAAGCCACAAACTTTGGAAGTGAAATCATCACACCAAGCCATCCAGCTTCTGTGGACTCTTCTGTAAATAGTGTGCACTGGGGGAGTATTCTCTGGCCCCAGGGGAAGGTCAGCAAAGTGGTTGTGAGATGGAGTAATCCGGTCTGGATCGTGCTGAAAGCTCTTATTGATACAGGGTCAGTCTCAGTGGAGACATGGCTGTCACATGGGCATCCCCGGGCTCGGGATGGGAGGCCAGCGGGGGAGGGACTGCCGCTGAGTCATTGAGTTCATTAAAAGGCTGCTGCACGGCGGCGGAGGCCAGACCAGCCCCGCACTGTGCCACCACCACACACACCTCTGGGTTAGGTGAGACTCCATTCTGCCCAGGCGAGGGGGCCAACAGCACTTGACAAGGTAGGAACCCAGAAACTGGTTGTCTCAGAGCCCCCGTACCTCTCACACAGCTGAGGGCCCCTGGGCAGATTTCTGGTGGTGGGAGGGTGAGGTCCAACTGTACTGCCGGAACTCGGCCCCGGTCCTGAGTGGTGGCTTCTCTTACAGAAGAGGAGTGGGTTGGTCACCAAAAAATTTTCTGAGGTGGTAGCTCACAAGTTCTGAAAGGGAAAAGAGGAAATGGCATATATTTTACTAGTAGCCAGCAGTCAAATACTGTTTCTCCAGATGGGGCATAATTTAAAGTCACATTTAAACTTGGCAGTGAGCAGGCATTGTTGATGTGGGTGAGAAAAACAGGGCTGAGAATATGTTAAGTCCCTGAGAGATCACGTCCAGTTAGACTCTGAAGCTTCTATTCCACTACAAAAGGTACAAAAATAGCAAACTTTGGTCTATGCTGGGGCTGGAAGGGGAGAAGTAGGAGGTATTTGGGGTGGGGGCACTGGGGGCAGAAGTCATACAGTCTAATAAACTGCCTCACTGATCTGAGGGCAGAAGGCCATGTGGTCTTTGCCTTGTCTGGCTCCCAGCCTTAGGTGGCTGACACTGCTGTGAGCATGGGTGTGCGCTGCATGCTGGGTGGTGGTGGCTGTGTGCTTGTGTGTCTACCACATCATATACTGTCAGCCTATCTAAGTGTCTTAATAAATGAACATGTCCAAAAAGGAACTGCAGAGATGAGTCTGTAGACCAATCACATTTGTGTGTTGTCAAAAAACAAAAAATCTGTGGTGGCCTGAGAAAACCTTTGAAAAGTAAGTAAACTCAAAGTAAATTCTGAATGATGGAGCTACCCCAGGGTAGGCTGTTAGTTCTGGAGAATTGATTTTGGCAAATCTAGATTCACAAATGGCTGCTTGGACTAGGTGAGTCCTTTTTTTTTAAGAAGTCATTTCGCCCTGCATCCCCGTGTGCATTCAGGCACAACATTCAGGGGTTGCTTTATTTTTTTAGATTGTTCCCCATCCCTCCCTTTTTTTTTCCTTTGCAAAACTGAACATTGCATTCCATTCATCTCAGTTTGTTCAGAGGCATCTGAGGCAAGGAAAGCAGACAGAAGAGGTTTGGTGGCTCTGGTGGAAGGGGGAAATTAGTCATGGAGGATAGAGGCTGCGCAGGGTCAGGGAAGAAGGAAAGCCTGTTTTCAGCGCAAGAAAAGTTTCTGTTTAATTGGCTGTGTTGGCAGCTGGTAGGAATGGGAGGGACAGGTGAAAGATGAAAGATGAAGAGCACGGGGCTAGGAGGTCGTTCCTTGCTGCTGTCACCTATTTCCTGGCTGGCGTGACCGTAGCTTGTGTGAAGGCGTGTTGCTTGGATGGCCATTCGGAAACCACTTCATTCCTGTCTCCCCTGGTCTCAATTAGCTTGAGTGTAAAAACTTGGTTTGGTTTAATCTGTCCCTCCAGCAGAATAAGACTTTCCCCTTTTAAAGAGAAAGGAATGTGTGTCTTAGGCATTAATGAACCTTTACTAAATTAACCTTCCTGAATAATTAAATTACTTTGAAGTAAAAGGAATCCCTAAAAATTAGGGGTTGAAGTATGATTCAGAATACAGTTTAAATATTTCTCTCAAGTTTTAATAAAAATTCAAAATGAAAATATCAAAAGCATCAACTCTGAAATGCATGAGGTTTGCTTAGCAACACTCATACCTGGGGAGAAAAACAAAAGCTAGTTGGTTTTGGGGTTTTGTAAGTCACCAGCAAGGAGCCACGGCTTAGGGCTCCATCTCACTTGGGGCCCTAGACTTATGGAGGGGTGGGACACTAGATTGCGGTGGGGCAGTCATTTCTAATTCCCGATCCAAGCACATGTGATGGCAAGTTAATTTTAGAGGAAGAGATTGGAGATTGGAAGTTTTTCCCCATGTGTAATGGTTCAACATGAGAATTGAAATGTTTGATCTCAAATAAGCTGCCATACTCTGAGTAACCTGCAGATTGTCCAGTGCAGAAGGTTAGCCCTTTGTCTACTGTAAGGTCAAGTTAATTTGTGCTCAAGAAATGCAAGTACATAGAGTTAACCTGACAGAAGCCCTCCCCCTCTCCTGGCTTTATGGGACACAGGTCGAGTTCTCCACCAGCTAAGGGGTCTCCGGGCCTTACTCCTGGTCTCACCTAGATGGCTGTGGGGGTGCTGTCTAGCTTCAGACCCCCTCATTGCTCTATCTTTGAAATTCTTCTTTGTTTCTGGTGATTGACTCTTTGGTTGGCTAGATTTTTTTTTTTCATTTCTTTGAGACTTACCCAACATTGCTATGTACAGTTGACCCTTGAACAGCAGGGGCTTTGGGACATTGAACCCCCGAGCAGTTGAAAATCTGCATATAACTTCTGACTCCTCTAAAAGTTTACTTACAGCCTACTGTTGACTGTAAGCCTTATCAGTAATAAAGTTGACTAACACAATTTGTATATTATATGTATTATATACTGTGTTCTTGTAATAAGGAAGCTAGAGAAAAGAAAGTGTTTTTTTTAATTGTCACGTATCTCCAAAAATTTTCCAATATATTTATTGAAAAAAATTTATGTATAACTAGATCCGTGGAGTTCAAACCCATGTTGTTCAAGGGTCAATTGTATTTAAAATGAGCGAGAGGCTTCCTGTGTCAGCTCAGCCTGCTGTACAGCCCTAAGGTCTAGTCTAACTAAATGAACCGGGAGGTTTAGCTGGGAGAACGTTTCTCTCAGTCGAAGCAGTGAGCATTGGTGTGGGTGGGAACCTTTCCACCACGTGTCTGTATGTTGCCTCTGTGGAGCAGTGGTGTATTCTTACTGCAACATGTGGTTACCCTGTAAGTTATCATCTTGGCACACGGTTGCTCTCCTGTATAGGACTCTGCATGGCTTTTGTGGAACAAGATGCACCTTCCTATTGCTGTGTCACTCACCTGAGACTACATTTGAGATCACCTTTCCTTCCTGGGTTCAGATTCATGCTGTTTACTACCCATGGGCTGTGCCATCTCTGATGATACTCCAGCACCCTTCTATTTTTTCCTGTTAGGTTAAAAACCCCATCTATGTTAATCTATCATATTTTTTGCCTTCTACTGTAGCTAGGTTTTAAGTTTTACCTAAGTGTCTTCCCCCATTTCCCAAATTCCACATTGACACTTGTTCGCCTTGTCAGTTGGTTCACTGAAAAATTTCTTTTCATCCGTGCTCACAGGGTGCCCTTTCTTCCAGTAGGAGCCATCATTCTAGTGCCTTGCACATGTTGTACCTAAAAATAAATTTAAAAAAAGATAAATACAAATCCTATTTTCCATTGTCACAATATGTTGCTATAGTCTGTGTCCACCTTTAGCTTTAAAAATCAATGACCTTCACCTGGAGGAAGCAAGGAAAAATGCCTTCCTTGGGTTTCAGGACTGTCCTCAGAAAGTCAGGGCATTTTAAGGGTGTTGTTTGGTCCTGTGTGAATTAGCAAGTGGGGAGGTGAGAGGGTAGGGTCAGCCTCAGCAAGCTGTTGCGCGTCCTTGGAAAATTTGTCATTTTCTTCAGGAAGTCTGCAACCTCTGGGGAGTAGTTACCTCATCTCCATGGGGCCCCCCAGGTTCCCACCACTCACCACTC